TAAAAGATGGTTTAAATTTCTTTGTATCACCTACTGCTGCACAGTTTCTTGTCATTTAACGAGATCACTGTTCAAGAGTCTCAATCAGGAATGAGCTATTTAAAACACAAAGCTGAGAATATAAAATTAGATACCAGGATTCAAGTTTCTCATTTAACAAAAATATTTTTTTGTAAAGTGTTAACAAATTCTCTATTTATTGTCTTCTCCAGTGTTCTTGGGCTTCCCTTGTGGCTCAGCTGATAAAGAATCCGCCTGCAATGCGGGAGACTTGGATTTGATCCCTGGGTTGGGAAGATCCCCTGGAGAAGGGCAAGGCTCCCCACTCCAGTATTCTGGCCTGGAGAATTCCATGGACTGTATAGTAATTGGGGTCGAAAAGAGTTGGACACAACTGAGCGACTTTAACTTGTTAATGTTATATTCTTAATTTTCATTATAATTGTATTCTATAAAGAAAACATTTTATCACACTCAATAAGCCTGTCTAATTTTCACTGGGTGCTGTAATGTGAAAGGGTTGTAAAGTACAGATCTAATCCTGCCCCCTTAACTTCTATGTGAGGAAACTGGGGCCCAGTCAGGGTGAGTTGTCTAAGGTCACAGAGCTAATCAGTTCCTTCCTAAACCAGCTCCTGTGCTGACTTTCTGAGTCTTAACTGCAGGTCTGTAATACACCATTCTCCAAGCTCTCCAAGTCCAAGTTAAAGCACGTTCACCTCTCTCTCTGTGTTGTATCTCACCCAACCTACAGTCCTTCTCAGATGGAATCAGCCCTCCACTTTGTGGGAGCTGACATACCAGCTCCTTGCCACATCGGCCTTTGATTTGTAAAAACACTGTATCTTTACTGCAAAGTATTTTACTGCAAAGCACGGTAAAGCGAAACATGATAAAGTGAGATATTCCTGTCTTTATTCCCATTTTATCGCCGCTCCTCTCTCAATTCACATCCATGGCTTTATGGAAACTCCATAGTCTAGGTGACTAAGCAAGACATTTGAACTTGGTGTAACAGATGGTATCAGCTGGGAGTAGACTGCTAAGGTGTTTTAGTTGCAGTTGGAGGTAGTCTTGAAAATGGTCCTGGAAGTGGCATATGCTGTGAGTTGTACTCTTGGGTTCTCTTTCCCTTGAGAAAGACCACACCAATTCATGGGCCCGGTGGGTAGGGACTTAGGCTGGTGACAAGGCAGTCTGGGAGAGAGGATATAGACATAGATGAACCTTTCAAAAATAGACTTAGGAAGCGAGAGTACTTGCATCCTATATGAATATTTATCAAAATGTCCCCACTGCTAAAGAAGCCTTAATAAATTAATGAACAAGATGACTGATCAGGTGGATGAAGCTCTTTCCTAGTCAACCTTTCCCTAGCCTGCTTATTGGAGTCATGAGCTCATCACATGCTTCTCCCCGACAAGGAGTATCTGACCATTGCCACTGCCCATTTAATTAACAGAAGGAATCATTATCATGTATTAATTCTATCATGGTAGGTACAGTGAGTCAACCTCACTGGGAAGGGGTTTACACTGAATTCCACCCCCCCCCCCCCACCAGCTATGCTTTTACCATCCTCGTCTTAAACGGGTTTGCCAAATACCTTATTCACCACCATGGTATCTTATACATTATGACATCTGTCTTAGTTCAGACTGTTATCACAAATTACCATAGGCTGGGTGGCTTATTAACAACAGAAATCTATTTCTCACTATCTGGAAGCGGGAAGTCTGGGATGAGGATGCCAGTGTGTTCGGGTTCTAGCGAGAGCCCCCTTCCAGTCTGCAGACTACCCGTTTCTTACTATATCCTCACACACAGAGCAGAGATGGGAAGCAGGCTCTCTCATAATCTTATGAGGGCAATATTCCCATTCACGAGGTCTCCACCCTCACCGTCTCACCTAATCCCAATTACCTCGCAAAGACACCATATCCTAATACATCATGCTCAGGGGGAGGATTTCATCTTGTGAATTCTGTGGAGACACAGACATTTAGTCCATAACAGCATCTGACTAAGGAACTAACTTTACAGTGAAGTAAGAAACTGGCTGTCTGATCAGATTCACTGACCCCACTGTGAACCCCAACAACCAGAAGCATCTGACTTTAGGAAACAGTGGAATGACAGAGAATGTATGCCTACTGCACCAGCTGGAAGCTAAGAGCTTGAGAGCTAGGATTCTATTTACAATAGTCCCTGGGTATCTTCCGGGAATTGGTTCTAGGACAGTTCTCCCCACACCCTCCCACCCCCAGATAACAAAATCCAAGTATGCTCAAGTCTTTATATAAAATGGCATAGTATTTCATATAATCTACACACATTCTCCCATATACTTCAAATCATCTCTAAATCACTTATAGTAATGAGAATCTATTTGAAAATAGATTTCCTCCGCAATTAGATTGTAGACTCTGAAGGCTGTCACCATTTTAAATATCTTTGTATTTAAGTACTTAGCATTGTACTTTAAAAAAGAAATTAATTTATTTTTGGCTGTGCTGGGTCTTGGTTGCTGCAAGAGCGGGGCTTCTCTCTAGCTGTGGTGTGTGGACTTCTCATTGTGGTGACTTCTCTTGTTGCAGAGCACGGGCCCTGGGTGCCCGAGCTTCAGTAGTTGTGGTGCATGGGCTTAGGAGGCCCAAGGCATGAGATCTTCTTGGACCAGCCATAGAACCTGTGTCCCCTGCATTTTCTTTTTTTTAAAAAATAATTTATTTTGGCTTTCTCTAGCGGTGGTAAGTGGGGGCTACTCTTCATTTCAGCACACGGGCTTCTCATTGCAGTGGCTTTTCTTGTTGTGGAGCTAGGCAGAGGGGCTTCACTAATTGTAGCATGTGGACTTTAGTTTTGGTGCATGGGCTTAGCTGTACTGTGGCTTGTAGAATCTTCCTAGACCAGGGATTGAACCCATGTCCTCTGCATTGGCAGGGGGATTCTTATCCACTGTACCACTGGGGAAGTCCCTAGCACTGTACTTTATTTATTTTACAAATGTAGTCTTTATTTTTGATTGTGCTGAATCTTCCTTGCTTTCCTATGGGGTTTCTAGGACTGTACTTTAAATAGTGCAGGATACAGGTTGCAAACTTGGAGGTTCTGGGCTATATCTGAACTGCATTCATTTGGATCAATCTGAAGTATACTTTCTTCATCGACAGTTTCCAACATTTCAAAACCAAGAGATTCATGTGCAGTGCACATGTGCACCTTCAAAAAATTTGAAGATTTGGCCATTTCAGGCCCAAATTCTTAAAGCTGCCCTCTTTAAACAAAACTCAGGGACTTCCATCTATGAAAAGTCCACACCTTGCCCACTTGATTTACTTTCATTAATTACCTGGTTCCTGAAGGCATATAAGTTTGCCACCCTTGTCGCTCAATGGAACTATTAATATATTGAATAAGTGAATTTGGCCATTTATACTTGTATGTTCATTTTCATTTCACGTATGCATTCTATCCTTCTAACTCCACTGTAATAATTCACTAGGGGAACAGAATCCTGTTAACACAAATCACTTCTTTGTGGTCACATGTTTCAAAAATATTAATACATTACAAAACACAGTCTGGGTCTTAGCCCCAGACCACTTGGAGTTGAGTCTCCGTTTTGGTCCCTGGTGTTGGTGGTTTTAGTCACTAGACTTAAGACTAGCCACTCTTTGTGAGCCCATGGCCTGTAGCCTGCCAGGCTCCTCTGTCCATGGATTTCTCCAGGCAAGAATATTGGAGTGGGTTGCCATTTCCTTCTCCAGGGGAGTCTTCCCGACCCAGGGATCAAACCCGGGTCCCCTGCATTGCAGGCAAATTCTTTACCAACTGAGCTACGAGAGAAGTCCAGCTTTGGTCCCGGGATGCCTAAAATTTCATCCTCATGATTCGTCCCCTGGATTTAGCCGAGACTTTGTTACTTGTCAGGTAGAGATTAAAATTATTTCCCGATAACTCAAACACCCAACATTTTAAAGTAGATATTAGGACAGAAGTTATCCTTTCTACAGCAAGGAAGAAATTAGAAAGCTCTTTCTGAGGTGGTCGAGTTTCTAGCTGGGACACTGGCAAAGGTGGAGGAGGCTGGAATGTAGTTGCTTTCTGAAGTTTATCGAAGGCTTTTTGGGAGGGGATTTTATCCCGAGTCTCAGAGCGACCCTCCCTCTGGGCCTGGCAGCTTAGGGCGGGGCTTCTAGCACAGCGCCCCCTCCAACCCCTCCCACACCCCAAGTAGTTATTGGGATTAATTTCTGGACTCTCCTGAGCCAAGCGTTCGGAGTTTCACACTTCTGGGGGCTCGTCTCACCGTCCCCAGGTAACTTCCCTCTGTTGCTGGCGCTCACCTTGTCCCTTCTGTCGCTGGAGTTGCACCCCCCCCCCCCCCGCCCCCGGCGCGATACCCTCTCTGGCTCTCTCAGCATCACTTTCCCCAAGGGGACAGGACGGGGACAAACTTGGGGACTTCCCTGCCCTCGTCTCCTAGCGGGGGAAAAGGACACGCGGGAAGGAGGCCCCGTGAGTTCAGAGTCGGCAGCCGGCTCCCGGGGCCGTCAGACGGGGCACTTCGCGACGGAGAACCCCTCTCCTCACAGCCGCCGGCGGCCGCGGTCTAGCCAAGCCGCGCGGAGGCGCCCCGGGCTCCCCGCCCCCGACCCGGCGCTCCCGCACTCCCCCTAGCGGCCGCCGCGCGGCCTCGCTCCGTCCCAGGCTCGTCGGCGGCGCAGCTCACGTGACCGCGCTCCGGGCCTGCGGCCGCTGTCGGTTCCCCCAGTCACCGAGCGAGAGGGAAGAAACAAGATGGCGGCTGAAGGCGATCCGGAGTGGGGCCCCAGCAATTCGGATTGAGCCTTCTCCCTCCACCCGCTTCCGCCGGCCGGGCCCCTCCCGCCCGGCCCCGCCGGCCTCCCCACCCGGCCCCGGCGCCCCCCACCGCCACCCCTCCGCCCGCCCCTCCCCCCTCCGCTTTCCCTTCTCCCCCCCGCCTCAGCTCCGACATGAGGGGCCGGCGGGGCAGGCCGCCCAAGCAGCCCGCGGCTCCCGCTGCGGAGCGCTGCGCCCCGGCCCCGCCGCCGCCGCCGCCGCCGCCGCCCACGTCCGGACCCATCGGGGGGCTCCGCTCGCGGCACCGCGGCAGCAGTCGGGGCAGGTGGGCCGCCGCCCAGGCTGAGGTGGCGCCCAAGACGCGGCTGAGCTCGCCCAGGGGGGGCAGCAGTAGCCGGAGGAAGCCGCCGCCGCCGCCGCCGCCGCCGCCGCCGGCCCCCCCCAGCACCAGCGCCCCGGGCCGGGGGGGGCGAGGAGGCGGGGGCGGCAGGACAGGGGGCGGGGGCGGCGGCGGCCACCTGGCCCGGACCACCCCGGCCCGGAGGGCCGTCAACAAAGTGGTGTACGATGACCACGAGAGCGAAGAGGAGGAGGAGGAGGAGGACATGGTCTCGGAGGAGGAGGAGGAGGAGGAGGACGGCGACGCCGAGGAGACCCAGGATTCCGAGGACGACGAGGAGGATGAGATGGAGGAGGACGACGATGACTCCGACTATCCGGAGGAGATGGAAGACGACGACGACGACGACGCCAGTTACTGCACGGAAAGCAGCTTCAGGAGCCATAGCACCTATAGCAGCACTCCAGGTACCCACCCAGCCCGGTTGCTGCAGACTTCTTCCCCACCTCCTCCCCCCTCCCTCCCCCCGGCTCACTCCCTCTCTGGTCTCCCCCTCACCCCCACCTCCCCCCACCCTCCAAACGGAGGGGAAATGCGACGGCCCATCAAGTGGCAAAAAACTAGATTTACAAGAGGAAAGAGGCGCATTGTTCAAAATGGAGATTGCATTGTTGCAGTTCGCAGGCCACACGCTCGCTCGCTCGCTCGCTCTCTCCCCTCAACCCCCTCTTTTTCCTCTTAAAAATGTGTGCCAGTGCAGTGTCTCCACCGGGCAGAGTTGAAACTTTGGCACACACATATCCATTGCATTCATTTTTCTCCCCTTGTTTTGGTTTGGTTTTTTGGAATGAAAGAAGCCTCTTGTTTTTGCAAACCTCTTTGCATTTCTAATGTGGTTTCTTTTAGATTTTTAGTCTATATCGGTTCCTAAAAAAGGGAATGGAGGATTCAGACAGATTGTGCCATACAAACACACACACACACACAACATGCTTCTCTTCACACCCCTAGCTGTGTGGTTTTAAAACTGTCTTAAGGAAATGGATCAGTTGGGTTAGTAGGGGAGCCTTATCTGGTCCTGTGTGTTTGTTTTTATTCCTGAGTGCTGATGGGCTCGTGCGACAGTTGCTGGTGAATGGCTGACTAAAAAAGCAAAGAAGAAAAACCAAAGAAAACCAAAACAAATTTGCTATTTTATCTGATTCCAATATCATTTTGGTAAAATGCAAAATAAGAGACGGCAGGAACTTGCGTCTTAACTCATTTGATCCCTTTGCCTGAGAAATGCAGTTTCCTGTCACCTGTTGCAGAGACGTATGGTTGATTATGCAGACGTAATTGCTGAAGATGAACTTTTGGACCAACTTCCAAGTCACACAGCAGAAGTATAGGGAAATTTAATGCAAAATGACTTTTTCTTTTCATTCTGTTTCTGAGGGTAATAATAAGTCCTCCCTCATCTGAGAAAACTCCTGTTTTCTCAGAGAGCTTCTCTAGGCTGGTGCTGAGATACATTTTGTTTATTTAAAAAACACACATACACATACACACAATGGCTGCTGTGTATTAAATACATAGTTGCAGTTTACTAAATTGTGAAAAAATATAATTTATATCAGTAACTTACAAGATCTTTTCCTTTATATTTTTGTTAATCTGAATTAACTGAATTAGAACCCAGTTTTCAGAGCATTTCCAAAGTAAAGTCCATGAAGGAATAGTCTTAACAAAGTGATTAAGGTGTGTCACTTGTTTTTTGATAAGAGACTGGAATAGGAGAAGTGGTTAAATGTAAATGTGCCTTTTTTTTTTTTTAATAAATGCTTAAATACTCATTGGAGGAGTGTGAGTATTAAGTCTGATGTAAGCCCGTTTAGATTGTCCTTGCAGCAAAGGAAGAAGGTAATTTCTTTTGCCTGACAGTAGTATCCGTCTTTGCCCGTCTTTGGGGCGGAGTGAGGGGGAGCTGGCAGGAGAATGAGGAGAATGAATCAAATGTCAAGTGTGTATGTCTTGTATGTGGAAAGGACTAGACACCATTCTTGCCAACTTAATTTTAGTGCATCTTTTATAGTGATGATTTCTCCCTTACGAATCACATGTGGTCTTTTCTACCAGGAGCCCAAAACTGAAAGACTTGTGGAGAGTAAATTATACTATTGGAGGAGGTTTTCTCAGATTAGACAGAGCTAAGGCGTTTTGGCAGGGTGGTTCAGCTAACTTTAACTCCTCTTTGAAGGCTTAGCAAGTAATATTTAGGGTTGAGAGCGGTGTATATGCTGTTAAATTGCAATTTTGTGGTTACGGTTCTCTTTTTAAAAAGATCCTGATATCTTTATGTACTCCCAATGACATTGTGTTTTTACCGTTGACATTCATAGCCTGCCTTGTGTATGCTTGTCCTACCTTTATGTGAAATTAAGGGTTCTGTATCCTTATACTAATCTTACACCCCCTGTATTTCCTAGTGCAGTGTCTCGAGCACACCACAGGTACTCATCAAAGATTGGTTGGACAAATGATTGTTAGTAGGTGAGAACTTGTAATAGATGAAGTTGTGCTGATTCTCCAGTGGGTACCATAATTCCTGAATATTTTGGATGTGGGAAACTAAAATTTGGCCTAATTAGATTTTGATAGTTTGACCAGTTTATAGTAGCAGAATTAAGTGTGTTTTGAGCTGCTGTTTCATTTTGCTTGCCAGGCATTTTCCTTTCTTTATTAGATGTGGTGTTAACTTGTTAGATGTTTTACTTTTGAAACATTATTTCTCAAGATTTTGGTGAAAGAGATGATACATTTTACATCCTAAACTTTTAGAATATGTCCACTTGCCTGGAATAGCAATTGATGATAGTGAGTTGTTTAGGCTAAGCCCTTGTTTCATTTGTTTTATTGGGTGTACTTCTAGATAAATGTGTATATGTGTGTATATGCTTTGGAAGGAAAAACGTTCTATAACTGATATAAGATATCCCAGAAGTCCATAAATAAATATATTTGGTGGATTCGAATTCACCTATGTTGTCAAGACTAAAAAGAGGAATATACTTTCCTGGTAATTTAGAATAAGTTGATTAAGTCTTGTAAACTAGGATGTTGGCTTAAGTACCAACATAAGAATAAGAAATTATACTTAGTATACTTATATACTTAGTATAAGAAATTACTCATTCATCTGTTCATATATTGAGTACTTCGTAGGTAATATACCTGTTGATGCAAGAACATTGGTTGATGTTACTAAATTAATTTTCTAAGACCATAGATTTAAAAAAGTTCAGTGGAGGTAAATGTTTTCTTCTTAATGAAGAAAAAATTTAAATGGGTATGTAAGGTCCTCACATGACATGTTACTATAGGGATGGCAACTTGTTAATAAAAATTTGAAACCATCTAGCTTTGCTTAAGTTCAAAGCATTTGGTTGCATAAGGCTTTTAGTATTTTTATTGTTAAAAGTTAGAATTATTTCAGACAGTATGTTTTATGACATACTTTTGAAGCACATTGAGAAGAATCGTATAGAAAATGTTTTGCATAGGCATTTGGTAAAATTCCGACAGCACCTTGAAATCAAGTGTTTGCTAATTCAAAAAAGTTTAAAGTCAGACTTTAAACAGAGCTTTTCTTTCGTTTAATTTGTGCGGGACTTATGAGAATACTTAGCTGCTATTTTGAAATTTGGAACTTCTGGTGACCTCAGAAAATAGAAGCCGCGGTGTTATCTTGGAAGAATTAGTGATTTGTGTCCTCTAAGATTATGAGAGTCGAGGTGGGTGGCACAGGTGCCATGAATGAACTTCAGATTTATTGGAAGAAGAATTTGTTACTCGTTTGACAATATTTATTCCCACCAGTTTCAAGCAAATATCTTTTCAGTATGCTTGGGATTCCTGATTGCTACAAGTGAGATAGATTCAAAGTACTGTGGAGATTGAAAGGAGGGCGGGCTCATAAGCTATATGGGGCAGTTGGTATGGATGTCTGCTTCCTGGATGGGCATGTGGCTAGTGAGGATGGGGATGTGGCCAGTGTGGATGGGCGTGTAGCTAGTGAGGATGGACACAGGCATGGAGGGAGTAGCATAAACCAAGGCACTGACTTTCAAGTGTGGGCAGTCTTAAGTAACCTACTTTAGCAAGAGCCTGAGCATATGAATAGGAAACTGTTGGGCGATAGTTACAGGACTAGGCTACAGCATTTTTCCTCTCTCCCTCATCTGTTGGGTAAGGATTGGGTTAGATCAGTGGTCCTCAGTCATTTTTCACTTCTGGACCACCCAAGGGATGTGCTATATTCCTATCAGCACTGGGCAAGGAGCATGAAACAAAAGGACATTAAATCACAAATACTATTAAATCGTCAATTTAGCCAGCTCTTTCCCCCCTGCAAATTGAGAAAATTAATGGAGAGGTGACATCTGAAGCCCTTTCTTTTCTCTCCAGTCTATTTCAGATCTATTTCACTTGTGGGTATCAGGGATCAGTCAGAAGATCTGGAAGTAAGTGGGATATGGTTTCAGTGGGACGTCAGGAAATTTAGCATTGCTTCCATTCTGCAGGGTGGATTGAAAGAGGACAGATAACTGGTGTGGATGTGGATGGGTTTTATAGCCCTGGAAGGAAACATCAGTCCAGGAGGTACTTCAAAATTCTCCAAACCTGGACAGCATCAGAAGTGTAGACAGAGAGCTTCATCAGATAGGCCTCTGTAAGAATGGCAGTGTTTTCAATAGCAACAGGCATTCAGGATTATAAGAGAAATTAATGAGATCTGTTTTCAGGTATAAGTACTTGAAGAGGTTAAACATGAGAATTAAAAGAAAGAAAACGAGGGCCCCAGAGAGTTATTACAAAGTTGGACAACGTGATCTGTGAGTGGTAGAGAGGTGTGTCTGAGGTATGCAGTAATGGATGGTCTTGTGCACCACCCAGGCCCAGTACTCCGCTGGGGTGTTAGTGGAAGTCGAGCTGGGTATTGCAGTGTGTGTGCAGCAGGACAGGGGATCCTAAGGCCAGGAGCGCTGCTTTCTTCCCTCAGGTCCACCTTTCTTCTTCTTCAGGACACTGTCCTCCCTGTGACTGCAGATTCTTGGAGTGGGGATGTGGGGGGGTGAGAAGGTGGTTGGGGTGAAGGGAGACCAGTAGTCTGGGTGACAAAGACAGGAGCAGATCCTAGCAGATGCCCTCTTTGCACTGGGTAGATTCCTCGTTCCCTGCTCCTCAGCACACTCTGAGCATCTCTTCCTAGAAGTCCTCCCAGAGTACTGATGATCACCTTGGTCTCTCTCCTGTTTGAATGTCCGCTTGTGGCACTTAGAGCCTCATCTTCATAATTTAGCACTAGCTTAGCACTGACCCTTATTATTTAAATTTTTTTGTGTGCTTTCAGTCCTTTAAAATGATAACCCTCAGGAGGCAGAACATTTCTTAAAAAGAAAAAACTTACAGAAAGCACTTGGAAAGG